CGTACGTCCATATGGTGGTAGCCAGACTTCAGGTCCAGGGTGAACATGTAGTCCTTGGGGCCTAGCCAGCCTAGGACCTGCGCAAGCGACTCATAACGGAACTCCGGGATGTGCAGGTGCTTATTGACTTCGCGTCCATCCCAGATGAGGCGGAGCTTGCCTTTCTGCTCTACGACGCCCAAAGGACAGGTCATGAAAGGGCGGGACTGGCAAGGTTTGATGGTCTCTGACTCCAGCAAACCCTCGATGGCAGAAGACACAAAATCCCCGTGGTCCCGTGCAGATTGGTGATTCTTGCCCCAGTACGGCCGGGGGGGAGGTCCTGAGTGCCACATCAGAGGGAACCCTTGCAGGACCCAGCTCAGCACGAGCTGGTTCACCACTGTCACCTTCCAGACCGCGGCACAGGCTCTCAAGCGCCCCCGCATCTTAGGCCTATCCTTGCTACCCATGCTAGGAGGTGTGGCTTCACAAGGCGGATCAACAGGCAAAGGTGCTGGGTTCTCACCTTCTGGGACCGCTTGTTCATTCCTCGAAGGGGCTCCTGGGTCTGGATGTGGTTCCTGGGCTTGGCGGGCGACCTTGGTCCGGGGCCGGGTGGGCTCTGCAGGGCCGGGTGCGGGACGCTTGGCGGTGTTCTTGGTCTCCACTTGTGTGTTGTCTCGTTGGGCAGGGGGGGGCTGCGCGGGGCGAGGGGCTCTAAAACCCGCGGCGACGAGCAGTGTGCCCAGTACTGTGGCGGCCAAATTCTCTGCATTGCAAGAGACAAAAGATAAAAGAGGGGGAGATGAGTAGAGGCCGGGGCTCATGGCGACTGAGGCTACGAAACGGTGGGAAGCCGCCCCTCCTGGGATGACAGAAAAAACCGAACAGGATACTCAGGGGCGACCTGCGCCGCAGGGGACGGGGCCACCAGAGCCATCAACCTGTTTGATGCCTCTCTGTCGTTGTTGGGTACATGCATGAAGAGGGAAACTCGGACGGAGGAAGGACAGGTCCAGCCTGAAGCCGGCCACCTGGGCCTGGAAGCCGCCATGGTCAACAGGACCGAGCCAACACGGCCCTAAGGCACTGATTGGGTGGGTAACCCATGGGTTACCCATCGGTTACCCACCTTCAACCCCCCCGTAGCCCATAGGTAACCCCCTTGTAAGTTCCTACCCAGCAGGAGGGGTAACACGGCCCCAGGGTAACCCCCTCCGTTGCCCTGGACTATGGACATGGGCCTATAGGCTACTCATCTTATNTGCTGCGCACTTCGTGAATTCATTTTAGTACATTTCTGTAAATGTACATGTTGAACCTACAGTATCCCGGTAGCTCGGGAAGCATCGTTCGCCAATATGAATTAAAGGCCTCTAACGCTACAGGAAAATTTTAGTAGAAGATTTAGAACTATGTATGTATTCAGTTCTAGCGTTTGTTCCCGCTTTGAGGGCATGAAACTCCCGTGCCGTATTATTGTCCCTAATAAGATTATTCATTCGCATTCATACAGTTCGAAGTGGATTGGGGAACGCAATTTAGCTTGAAATCCATTGTGTCTCTGGCTAGTTCTGAAAAGAAATCAATCGTGGATTGACAAGTTTCCCTTTCCCTTCTTCGCCGGTCAATCGCAGACACCTCCGCGCCAGGCTCTGCCAGCTGCAGGCTTGTGGCAAACGGCCGCTGAGGGGCGACTGGACAGCCGGCGGGCCGGGACGGGGTTGGTTCGGTCGAGTCTTTTAGCCCAGTAGTGTGGCCTTGAGAGCTCAGAAGGGATAGTGCTTGGTGTAGGGGGAAACTAGTCAGCTTAACCTGCAGGGATTTTCCCGGGTTCAGGAGGTAGCTACCTCTATAGATGTCGCCACATGAGAGTCTGAGAGTCGTTCGAAGTTCTTTGGATAGGTTTATGCGTCATGCGCGTGTTGCCCCGCTGAGGGCATTGGTGGGCAGCACGAGGGGGGTATAGTGGCCATGGGGCTGGGGTTGTGTTTTTCTGC